AAAAAAAAAAAAAAGAAAAATAGCACTTCCTTTTCGAAAACTAGCATCTTATTTTATAAATAACGCACAGAAAACGATTAAAAAATGTATAAAATATAACATGAAATAATACTATTTACAATATAAAATAATACGATATAAATAATATAATGTAATATAAATTATACTATGTTGTAATAAATAAAATAATGTGGTATAAATAATAATAATATAACGTAAAATAAAACAACAAGTATAATAGCACGATAAAAAATAATCGTATAATATATAAAATAAAAAAAAATACTTTTCCATACACGTGCGTGGTCCATTAAAATTCGAGCGAGCCCTTAAAGGGTTAATAATAAAAGACGCATTAATTTCATCAAACAGAGATGAATACCGCATAAGGTAGTTGACCGTGCCGTTGCGATATATCCGAAGGGCAAAATGGACTGGTATGAGCGGGTCCTTGAAGTCTCCGTGCATTATGAAGTACGTGTCCGGCAACCAGATATCATCGTAATGATGAATCGCGTTCAAGAACTCGTACTGCGACCGATTGCTGTAGCGTAATCGCGGATCGTACCACTGTTGTTGCAGCAAGAACTCCACCTCGTATTTCTGCCGGGCAAATGGAAAAAGAGAAGCGAATCGTTATAAAAATCTCGTGCTGTTCGTTTCGTCGAGAGCGGAATAGAATGGCACGCGCTTGCCATGTTTTAACGGCTACGGCTACGGCGCACCTGGTGCATTCCGCAAAAAGGATTTATCAAACGTGACGGGTCTCGCTTGTTCTTCCAACTTACCCGCGCGGTAAGTTTCAACGATCCAATTTGTTTCCTCGGTCGGACAAAACAAGATGTAAAATTAACCCCTTGGGAATGATTGCCGCCCGTTTCACATTGTCTCGCGCAAGGACGAAAATCTCAGAAGCAATCGGTCTCGCGATTAAAACGGAGATGTCCGATATCTCTCTTGATATTAATTAGGAATCGCGGCAGTTGTGCAATTTTATACTCTTTGTAGATATATATATAGGTAGAAAATTATTCTGCGTGTTGAATATCATAACGTTGAGCATTTTATAGATTTTATGTATTTTATGCATGAAAATCTGCGATCTGGTTGTAACTAAAATTAAAAAAAATTATAACGTAAGAATTACGAATTTACGAACGCCAATTTGCTATCTTTCGGTTTGGATGAAAAACACTTTGAAAAGTCAACTAAAATTCTCTCTGGAGTAAATTTAAGAAATAACTTTAGCATAACATTCCTGTCCTTAATTGAATTGTTCACCATCCTAACTTTCTAACTATAATATCGATCGTTCAAGAAGCGAGTGGAACGACTTCAAGGAAAGGGCGGGTTAACGAGAAGAGGCGAAATTTATTTATTAATTACCAAACTGGACTCGTCGGGTGAGGCCAAACTTAGCAACAGCACGCTCACGTTCACGGTCAAGGTTCCTGAAACACAGTGCACGATTGAAATTAAGATGTTCCGTCTCGTTGAATGTCGAAGCAGTCACCAGAGAAGAGCACGCTAATTCGAAAAGAAAACATTCTTCGGAGGGGAGACATCTCGCATCGGGAAAGGGAACTCGGCGTTACATTTTCTTTTTTTTTTTTTTTTTTTTTTTTTTTTTAAGAAAGTTAGACTGGCTAACAAAAATCGAAGTTGAATCACATCTCGTTTGCAAACAGTGTTAGTTTGAAACAGTGGAGCAAAGGAAGGAAGTAGCCGCGGGTCTCCCTAACTCGTGCGAGTGACCTTCTGACCTGCGTGGTCCCTTCGTCCAGACTCTTTCACTTTGCACGGATCGAAGGCAAGACCAACGCGACCTCGAGATCTGAAATCTCACTGAGATTTTCAGGTCTCGCTTTTCCTTCACTTTCCTTTCAGTCTTTTCTACGTCTGCCACAAGCTTTCTACTTCTTGCTGTTATTGCGAAAGCGCCATTAAGAGCCATGCTGTGCACATGCTGCGACTAATCTCAAAGTGTTTGTATATATATATATATATATATATAAAATTGTGAAGCTCGTAGTCGGAGAGTTAGGACTCGAGAACCGGTCGTCGAGAGGCGCGATAGCACGGCGACATTCGATCGAGAAGAGGATCGCTCGCAACGGAAACGGAAGCGGAAAACGGCAACGGAAATGGAGATGGAAATGGAAACGGAAACAAAATGATCGTTGCAGCGATGCTCCGTCTGGCGTGGTTCGTTTTCGCTGCGCGCCGATTCTCTAATCAATGATGTGCCCATTGTGACACGCGGCACATTCTTCTCGGAGGGAGGTGGGGGAGGGGGCGGGGGGGGGGGAGTAAAACGAACCAATTTGATACCCGTTTTCTGCTCGTTCTGATACAAAGTCACCCGTCTAACGAGTCCCAACCACCGATCCGATAACTGCCAACGCATTCAGCTACGCAAACGACACGCCAAACGCGACTCTCTGTCTAGTATATAGCGTGTACGTCGGTCGTGTGAAAATACATAGGTGGAATGTGGAACAAGGAGTGCAGAGTGTGGACAATATTTAGAAATCGTACGTCGACGATCAACCAGCCTGCCCGAGGTGTAAACCGTTTCCAGCGGGGAACATTTAGAATTTCGTTTTGTTACTCGTGTTCGCATCTTAACTGCTTCGGAGACACACAGCGAAGAGTATAAAATAATATTAACGAAAATATTGGCGTGTACGAATTATTTCTCTGTTACAGTTAGCAGTAAGATGTACAAGGATAGATGTGACAAAAGTGTTTTGTATAATTGAGGTTCAATCAATTTATATGATTAATCGAATAATGAATAGTCATCGTCTGTTTTGCGATATTCGTTTCTCCAATGTGACAATATTAGTAATGTCTTGATGTTGAACCATTGTATCGATAAAAATATATAGCAAAACGAATAACAATAAAATTCGGTATACGAAATGAACGAAAGTATTGAAAGCATCATCTTGAATTGTATTTATAAAAATATAATTTTCGAAATGAACTACACTTCGATACGATCAGAATGCTCGATATATTACATACAAACAGGGAACGAATAAAAATGAAAGAATTGAAAGCATCGTCTTGAATCTCATCTAGACTTTCATTAATAATCGAGCAGAGAAATTAAATTAAATGCTGAATTAAAAGCTGAAAAATGCAATTTCATTTAATTTAATCAATGACTGATCTTTGACTAAGTAGTAAGGCAAACAGAAGAGCGTTGAACAAATTAAACGTCTAACCAGAAAGTTTCTCTGATATTCTAGTCTCTTGCATATCTTACTGTTAATCTCGAACGAAAAATAATTTAAAATAAAACCTGCGTAGTTACACGTGCTCCTTTCACTGTGCGTGTCGTGCATATTCTGCATACTCCAGTTACGCGGCAGAAAGTAGAAAAAAAAAAAATCGACACGAGGAGACTCCGGGTTTCGTTGCGCCGCGTTTGTTCTCGATAACAGCCGGGGTGTATCATTACGCCGTGGAAACGAGAATTAATCGGCGAGGCACATCGGACACGAAACACGAGCTCGCCAGGCTCGGTAAGAACGTTATAACCGCGATCAGTAAGCAACGCTTTCCTTTTTTTTTTTTTTTTTTTTTTTTTATGTCCTCTTAACACGAATGTCCCGTTTCGAGCTTCGCGGTTCTACCAACAACACGAACCTTCCAGCCTTTCTGAATCACATTTCGAGCGAACGTTTTGCGCAATAACGTGGAAGAAAAAAAAAAAGAAAGGTCTCGCACGGAGCTGCCGCGAGTATTCTGATTCTGTGCGTGTGTTTGAAAATCGAACAGTCGAAGGTCTAGGTCGAATCAACGCCTTAGGCTTTCATTCTCGCTCGAGTCTCATTCGTATCTCGGAGCCAAGTCCGAGATCCGAGTTTGCTCGAGCGAAACAGAAGATTCGAAAATGAAATTTCGTCAAGAGGCTTTTTTCAACGCTAGAATTATCTTCTTCCTCTCTCTGAATACGTAATGTATACATAGGTTCCATGGACTCGAAATTAGACGAGTAGATACACGATCGTATTTTTGTCAAATATTATCAGAAACAAGAGTTTTCGAAACTGTCTGTAATTAGCAGAAATAAGCCAATCTCTTTGACTTGGGTTCTCGGTAGTTCTAGCGTTAAAAATGTAGAGCCAAGAACTGAAGAAAGCTTTCAAAGAGCCGACGTCTTTTTCCTCTTTGTTGACAAGAACGTGTATACACATACACACGCCCACACACACACACATATATATAGACGATGGGAAATGTAGCTTCAATAAAAAAAAGAAAGAAAAATAATCGATCGACCTATAAACCCTCGTGCAGAAATTCGACTAGCAACCCATTCAGGATTCGATTCCCGTATGT